ATGAGTTCACTGTACCCAAATGGCCTCCACAATCATCACATCACAATCCAATAGAGCACCTTTGGGATGTGGTGAAACAGGAGATTCCCACCATGGAGGTACAGCTGCCAAATCATAAGCCCAATAAGAAAGTTGTTGGTAGAGTCCAAAAGAACATATCAATTTCAGCATTCAACCATCCATCTATCAATCATGAGATCACAACTATAAATACATACATTAATGGAAAAAAATGTGTCAAAAAAGTCGACTTTTAATTCAATTTGCAAATTATAAAAAAGCATTCTGAAACATTGTCTTAAGACCTTCAATTTATTAAGTTAAATGTACAAAAGTTCAATGACTTGATACATTTCATGTTTCAAGGCTTTGTCATTCAGACCAAACAAACTGCGTCCCATTCGAAAGCCTCCCAGTCTGTTCATCCTGCCTACCTTCTCTTAAAAGAGGCAACCATTCATTCTCCTGTCTAAATCACAGTACAATCTACTGTATAACGTAGCTATTTCAAATAGATTTTGTTTATAATGTAAAAAGAAATTTCATACAAAAGTGCAGAACAATATGTATGTACAGTATAATCTTTTGTTGGTTTTTCCATATAAAAGATTTTCAGCAAATCCTGCGTGTGCTTTCTACTAAACAGCCGCTCGCCTTACAAGGAAGCTCTCTGCTTTGGCAGTGAACGTTTGTGTTTGCAAGCACACTCAGGTAAGGCACTAAGGGTTGAAAAGATTGGATCGTCATTCTTTTAAGTGCCTGTGTGTTACAGCAAGTCACGACACCTCCGACATCAACCCTCCCCCACCCCACAGTTAAAGTTTCATTTCATCTCCACTTTAAAGAACACATCATTCCGCTCCATCCTTCCAACTCAATGTTTTGTTTTTTTTGGCAACTTGTAATAATAAGCTCCGCCTCACATGACGTCACAGAGACCACGGTGTGCCGTCAAAGTCATTAAGAGACCCATTCGAGATGGCGTGGAAAGCTAAATAAAGGCGTGGGGTGAAGTTACAGCAAAAATATAAACAAGACGCTTCCTTCGGTCTAATTTCACAATCTTTAAAAAAAAATATTTAAAAAAATGTGACGTTAATGCGTCCGATTTGGTCTGTGCACAAAGCTGCCATAACACAGGAAAGGCTATATGGGGCTCTGAGGTGGCAAAAAAGTCAGACATGACTAATACTGCACGTTTTCTAAAAGTTATCGAAAGGTTTCAGTCTCTGCAACATTTCTTTGGCCACTTCTGAATGGAACAAGGCTCGCTGCATGGGAGGATGGAATGACAACAGTAGTGTTGGTATTGCTTAAGAGACATTGCACACGAATGCGCAAAAAGAGTTCGCTTCTTCTTTTTCTTCTTTTACACTGAAACACAATTCTCAGTAATATATATAAAAAAAAAATGCATCAAATAGAAAAATATCTCCTCGGCTGATTATCCTGCACGTCGGAAATGTTTCAATGCATGATATCAAAAAGTGCAACATTGACAATCCTTCCTAAAATGGGGTTGTTTTTGTGAGTGCTTATGAAAGCAGGGTACTGG